TTGACCTCAACGGTCGCTTTTGTTCGGCGCTCAAAACATTTTGCCTTTTGGATTGCTCAAGAATTTTATTGCATTTATGTGAAGAAGACACCTTTCTCTTTCTATTGGTAGGAAAAGTATGGTCCAAAGCTGTATACCAAGGAGTGATTTTCGAGTCTGAAGTTTTGCTATTTTTTGTCCGTGAAAAGTGGGCAAAATAAGTAAAATAATTAAAAATCTAAAAAATATTTAATTTGCCGTCGAATAGGAAAATTTTACATCAAAACAATTTTTTAAGTTGAGCTCTTTTTGGTACGATTCCCAGAAGCAGGATTTGTTTCCTCTTTAATTTTTAAACGATTTTTAAGTAATATATGGTCATTAGCCCCTGAGAACTGCCGTGTGAGCTTCCGAACCGACTCGGTCGCGGCACGCGTAAAAAAAAATCTAATTGAACTAAAAGTTATTTTTCTAAAAATAGTTCACCTAGGGCTATATTCTGACAAAGTTTGGGGATTTTCGATTTTTTCATTTTGCACGCCCCCAGGCGATATTTACGGACGGCCGCTCTTAAAACGTAAAAATTGCAAGGAGAGACTGGTCACACATCTTAACTCGACACCGGTGTGAAGCCTTTGAAAACTTTTTGCATATTGATATTGCTCCAGTGAGGAGAACTCTTTCAGGGATTTCAAAACTGATTGAACGATGACTTTTATCACTATAAATATATATAGCTTCTATGTAGCGGACAAGACACGGCAGTTTTTGTTCAGCATAAGAGAAATATGTAAGCTTAGCAGAACCTTACACAACAGATAGTTAATTCAGTTGCCGCGTATATATTCCTGTTGAATTTCTTGTCCGTTTTATAACACATCAAAATTGCGTGGAAGTAATTACATTTTCCATGGCTGCTTAGTATCTCCTTTAAATATCTTCGTACAGTTGATGTTTACGCCATCTCAGAGTACAGTGTTTAGAGCTTTACACAGCGTGCATTTTATCACAGTATCACTGAGATAAAGCGTTTCATTTCCCAGGGAAATTCATCTTTTTCGTCAAAACAATCACTGACTCAGTCAGACTCGGAGTAGTTTACTTAAATTAAGTGCTCAGCAAAGCGAGCGGGGTTATGTTTGTGAAATGCATTTACAGTCTGTGGTCCACGTCACCACAACCCACGATTTATTTATTTATTTTATTCTCAAGTTTTTTTTTAACCGATCTTCGATCCCCGATCCCCGATTCTCGATCGGTCCCATCCTCCATCCTTGATCCTCGAATCTCGCTCCTGCTTTTCCAGTAAACCTCGAAGTTTTGCTCATTAAGATTGTTCTTTTTATCGACCACTGAAGCAATCAGTTGTTCCAACTGTAATCAAGGCTTTCAAACGATAGAATTCGCGGACCGACCCGTTCCGGAAAAGCTCGATATGGGATTTCTATTCTGTGGACATGAAGTGCTGCAAGTAGAGTGCGTGATAGTCAAGTACACAGCTACCCGTATAAATACATCAGTAATACATACGTAACGTCAGACGCGTAGTTGAAGTTGCTTCCAGTAGTACTCGAAGGTTAAATCATTGATATCTCAAGTATTTATAAAGCGCAACGCGACTTTACATCTTAACAACTGCGAAAATCTTTCAGTTAAATACATACAACAAAGTGAATCTATTCAACCGTAGAGTAACAGTAATTGCGACAATATTCTGAGAAACGTAACACATCAATACACCACAATAATATTTTCTCATCCTACTCGGGGTATTTACTTTTTTGAAATAGGTGCATTCAGTAATTACACGAAAATCAAGGGCCTCGATTTGGTGAAAATTATGTCATTGCCAAAAAGCGAAAACGTGTTCAGCTTACATGCGTCATTTCAGTCATCGCCAAAAATAATCCGCATGCTCATCACAAGACTCATTTGCATACAATGAAAGTCATCACGATTCTTATCCACAGTTTCCACGGTGTCCGTTGGGAACGCCTGGGAGCATACCCCCTTTTTGCGACGGACCGACGACAAAAAAAACGCTTGCATTTTTAGAGTCTTGCTCTGCTAAAGCAAGCTCGACTAAAAAGTGGAATGGCTATAAAGCCGTACAAGCGTCTTTATTATCCCGTTATGTTTTTTTGTTAACGTTTTTTTTTTACTCAACCGATGATGTGAAACGTTCAATAGCATTCCTATCATTTTGATCCATTTCACCAATCGTAGACGGTGTACAGAGGCCCCCTCACCTCAAAAAAGGGGAGGGGGCGTCTGCTGTACACAGGCTATAAAAACGTCGCATTCATTTATTCATTCGTAATTTGTGAAAAAAAAAAAAAGAAGAAGATAGCTACCGACATAAACTGCAGCACATTTGTTAAAATCTTAAGCTTTGATTCCGTTTGCCATCTTTCATAACCAGTCTTCTCCACTAACTATGACCGAAAGAAACTCTGCATTCATGCGCGCTTACATTGGATGATTTTTTTGTTGTTTTGGTTACATTCCTAGCACAAAATATTAAAGTGAACCACAACACTTTACGATAAGATTACCTCAAGTTCCAACTAACAAATCATTTAATGTACCGTAAACGATCTGATAAACGACCACTCTTAAATAAACGCCTCTTATCTAATAAACGTCCCCTGTCTAATAAACGCCCCCCTTGAAAATTGCCCCCAAATACTAGGAAATGGCAAAATGGAAATGGAAATGGCAAAATCAATCAATTTGTTAATTTCATTCCTTGATTAACATCAGTCTGTGTATTATGTCATGTTCAATTTCTAGATTAGCCGTTTTTAGCCGAAAGCATACTGTATACCGTTATGTTGAGTTCGTTAAAATAAGTTACGAGAATAAACGTCTCTCTCTTTTAAACGCCTCCCATCTATTAAACGCCCCCTCTTGGACCCCTAAAATTAAATAAACGCTGTTACGCCGCAAAATGTAACATTAACGCGAAATGTAACAACTTTTGACGCGAAATGTAGCAACTTTTGACGCAAAATGTAACAACTTTTTGACGCAAAACGAAACAATATTTTTAACGCGAAATGTAACAAGCCAAATGTTACAGCCTTGAAATAACTGAGAGACGTGGACATGAGCCTTGTTGATATTAAAGTGTAAATTGTCTGGTGGTTACAAAAACAGTTTATTCATAAAGTTTTCTTATAATGTCAAATAAACTTACAAAAGGTCGTAAAACAGGTGATTAAGTTACAAGTCATGTACAACCTTGGAATAGCAGTATGGGCAATAACAACAACGCTAACTTATTAAACATAACGTATGGAAAATATCCCAAGCTATGCGAAAAGAATATGACTAGAAATGCGAACAATAACACCGTAGGAAACACGCACCACTCAGCAACTGAAATGCAAGTTAAAAGTAAAAGTTAAGAAAGGTAATCTTTCAAAAGAAAATTTTGAACGTAGTCAATAAGATAGATCTGAAATTTCTCATTTCTTACCGGACTTCCAGTAAATGTGAGAAATTTCATACCAAACCAGTCCTACTGCCTTAAAACTTAACCATGCCAACGCCCATTTAACACTGTTGACTATCTCACCCAGTCGGATGACTGCTCCGCTACACTTTCCTTTTAGGGAAAAGGGGAGGAGGTGGGTAAAAACAGACAGCGTCGGATATAAACAGAAAGCGTCTTCACTCGACGAAAGTGTGAAAAGAATAATCAGTAATCGATACTCGCCTCGATTTCATACGGGCTCAACTCCCTAGAGGGAGTATGCTAAAAATGTACCATCCTAACCCATCTAATACGTCCTACACGTTGTAACGCCAACTTTCTTTTCAGCGTCACACATATGTACAGAAAGATATACTAAACAACAATTCGTTCGACCGTGTCAGGATTTAGTTACTATTATCGAAAAACGTTTTGCAAGTTTATTTGACATTATAAGAAAACTTTATAAATAAACTGTTTTTGTAACCACCAGACAATTTACACTTAATCTACGAGGCTCATGTCCAAGTCTCTCAGTTATTTCAAGGCTGTAACATTTTGCTTGTTACATTTCGCGTTACAACTATTGTTTCATTTTGCGTCAAAAAGTTGTTACATTTCCCGTTAAAAAGTTGTTACATTTTGCGTCAAAAGTTGTTACACTTCGGGTTAATGTTACATTTCGCATCAAAAGTTGTTACATTTCGCGTTAATGTTACATTTTGCGTCAATTGTTACATTTTGCGGCGTAACAAACGCCCCGGGCGTTTATTATATCATTTACGGTAAGTTGTAAAACGGACCTGGTGACTGCTTTTACCTTGAACACAAGTATAGTTATAGCAGCTATCGCAGGACACATCGTTCCATGTGTAGCCATTATTGGCACCCAGAGTATGAACACAGTCTTCGTTTTTCCAGTTGTTTGGTTGTTGCGGAGCCCAGAACCGAAAACTGGTTATTTCCTTGTTTGTCCAGACAAATGATCCCTCAAAGCTTCGGTCATTAAGTCCAATCCATGATCGCTCTCCATTATGACGGTGCTGTATGTAGACATTTTCTTCTTGGTTGTGCACCGTTGCCAGATGTGAGTTCATGGTTGAACAGTTGGACACAGCAGTCACCCAAGGAGCGCATACAGAGCTTGTTAAATAGCAGTATCCATTGAAGTAATCCCATCCAGATGGACAGATGTCTGCGCGTATACAAAGTAGGAATTAGTGAACTACATATTAATCATATTGCTTTAAATGTATAGCTTTAGGTGCAGTTATGTGCTTCAAACATTTTTGCTATTTCCGGTTTTGCGATTAAAAAAAGAAATGGAAAAGCAGAAGTTTTGTGTTCAGGACAAAATAAAGGCAATACATAAGACAAAAATAACTGCAAGTATTATAAAGCACTCCATTATACACATTAATATGTATTTGGAAAAAGGGATGAACTTCGTTTTTCATCATCACCCGAATGCAATTGTCATTATTTTCTCCAGTTTTTGTGCATTCCTTTTGTGTATTGCTTGTATTCCTTTTTTTTTAATTCAGAGACTTGTAAGTACTGAAGTTTTTTAGTTTTGTAGCTGTAGAGCTCTCACCTGACAAAACTGTGTACGTTACTGACAATGGGTCATATTTTGCTTCATAGAATTCTTTGACACAAGCACGAAAGCCTGTCCTGTTGATGTACTGCAAGAAAGGGATGTTTATCAGCTCATTAAGTAGTTCACACAGACGGCTGACGGCGTATTTTCTCCCTTGCTAGTAGAAAAAAAACTATAGAACAGTTCCGGTAGGTCTTGACTAGAAGACTTTCCATATTTCTCAGATTGACTCACGTTAAGAAGTGATCAACCCTGTTCAACAAGTTTGCATGACAGGGCTTTAAAGGGTAGAGGAAAAAGGACAATTGAGTGCGCGTTATTACATGTCAACAACTTAAACCTGTCATTGCTTTTCTTGGTTTTCACATGACGTCACCAAAATTCAAACCAAGAAACTTTCGCTTCTTCTGAGTTTCTACTTTCATGTGATATTTGAGTACCTTAAAACCTTTATACAAACAAATTTTCGGTGCAAAAGGGTTCTTTGTTTTGCGATACAGGACGCTTGATTTTCCAGGCTTTTGCATGACTCGGCATTCGGCTGGCTGCCGGGAAAGCTCTTATGTGGGTTAAAAACATTACGGATTTTTGGAGATTTTGCTATCTAAACATTCCTTGTCTTAGAATAAATATTGCTTTAATCTTTATGAGTTCCTCAAGCGAAGAATTCACGCATAAGTAGGAAAACTCAAAAACAGATGTTTCTTTTGGTTACCAGCGGCCATATTTATTGTGCCCCTGAAAGAGACACAAACATGGCGTCTCCGTACAAAGCTTTATAAATTTGGGTAAAACGTTTTTCCGAAGATCTCGCATATCAACTATTGCATAAACCTGATTCTTGGCAAGGCTTTTTGTATATTTATATTCTTTCATTTCCCAGATTCTAGACTTTCTGTATTAGAAGGTTTTCATTTTTATTTCTTCTTTCTCACGTGAGTGAAAACGGAGAATAACTGCTGTCAAACTTCAAATGTTTGGCGGCGAAATATATCGCGTTCACGGGAAAGTAGACCGCGCGGGTCAAGGAAACAGCAAAAAAATATAACCTTCATCACACGCGTGCGTACTTTCAATAGATTTCGAATAATCATCATGGGGCACAGGGATTCGCACTCTTAGCTCACTCTCTCTTGCTTAAGGTACTTCCCTTGTTTTGCACTGCGCACCCTCTACTGCACATAACATTGCGACATTCAAGATGGCGGCGGTTCCTCCCAATAGCGCGAAAAGAACAAACAAGGGCCGCTTTTGCAGAGCTAAAGCTTTTATTCGCAACAATAATGCCGGAGATCGACTGACAGCTTCCTGGTTTGCTATCGAAAAACAAGAAAATGAAAGAAATGTGCGCGATCCCGAAGTCTGCAGTGGTTTTTCACTTCGCGGCCGTCGAGTTGTGGAATTATTAAAATGTCCTGGCTGAGGCTTTGGATTGAAGGTTCTGTGAAGCCTGTGGGACAGCCCTATCGCTCTCCAACCGCATTAACGAGCCAGTATCTGGCCTGGGATTGCTACTGTACATATGCTGTTCAAACTCCGAGAGTGGAGAGACGAATATTTCTGGAACAAATAAGACCCACCGTAGCCGACCAGATTAACGCGAAGGAAACCAGTCTTTGATGTAAACACGAAGTTTGCTGCTGAATTCACATTTTGCTGTGTACAGAAACCAAACAAGCGAACATATGAAGAACAGAAATCAATAGTCTTTTCTTCAAGTTTCTTTGTCAAGCATTATTGTGCAAAAGCAAAAAAATCGAACCCTAGCTCACTGGAATTAAAAACAGAACGCCGGCGCTACAAAGTAGTCCAAAATAAAGATTCATAACTCCAAAATCTCATCAATTCTTGACTTACCTCATTCTTTGGTATTTAATGTATTCTTTTCAAGTTTGAATTTTTGTGTTGACGATATCAGACATATAAAAAAAACAAAAAACAAGCTTGATCTCGAGTGCATACTTCGAAAACGATGGGCGTTATTTTGTATCTCGCCCCAGTCCCCTCCGCGCAAATTATCCATCCTGACTGCGATCTCAAAACCATGTCCACCTTTGTCAGTACTTTGTGAGGAAACAAGCACGGTGACCCCCGATTTTTTTTCCAGGTATTTGCTAAGAACAGTCCAATAAAGAACATATTTGAAGAAGAAAAAAAGTTTGATAGTAGAACATGATTTTTTGGGGGAAAATAGTTTCGTATTTGGTGTATTTGGGTCAAGGCGAGGACTTCAAGCTAACCACGGAACTGTCCGAAAAAGTACAATATCCCCACTACCAGGCAATCAAAAACGAATTAAATGAAGCAATACTGCTTATTTGAATAAAATAATTTCTATGTTCAAGATAAAATTTTGTGTGTTTCAAGTAACAAAGACTTAATTCTGTAAGAAAGGGATTCGAATTTTTAACTCGCAACCATCAAAAATACCCCAGTTTTAGAACCTGCTGACGCGTAAACAAGCACGGTGACCCCATCTTTTTATTACATTTTTTTAATGTTCATATCATGAATGTTGATTATGCCAAGTTTCGAAAAAATTTTGATAGTAGAAAAATTTCAAGGGAATTACCTTAACATCAATTTTAGTTTTCTCATTGCTTTTTGTTGACAGCATTTGTCTCCCGGAAAAACAAAACAGCGGCTTACCTTCTGCTATACAGCTACACAGCTTTTTTTAGAACACAGTTTTAACGACTTTCTATAAGTCATGGCTATTTTACTAGCTAAGGGTTATGCCTGATCGTTAGTTAAACGGATGAAATTTAACTTTTGTGCTGTTTTTCGCACATTTGGTATTTTATAAACTGTTATTCTCAATAGGACGCTATCTGTATTGTAAAATAGAGAGTGTTAGTTACAGTCATTCGTGTTTTGAAATTCATAAGGTTTTTAAACATGCATACAACACATGTAAGTGTGGTTGCAAGTGGTATGTTACAGAAATTCATAAAATAAATAAAAAGTACAGTAAATAAATAAATAAATAAAACATACCTCTACCCATTCAGCTATGCTGTTATGAATTGGACTCTGACTTCAATTTTTGGTGGAATGATTGGCAGAAACAAACACATGTGGAGTTGAGTTATAAACTTTAGTAAAAGTAGCGTCCTGTGAAAAGAAATTACATAAATGTAAAAATTCAGTCTCTGACATTTATATAAAGGTAAAGACTTTTTCCGCATTAGGGCATTTATAATCTATATTTCATTTTCATTTTAAATATTCACTGAAATATGACAGGCAGCCTGCTAAATTGATTAAATGTAACTACCATCACTAGAGACATGATAGGGGAACAGTTTTCTTTTGGTCTCTGATAGTAAATTTATTCAATAAAATTAACTGCACTGTGACGGGAATTGAAACCCAAAAGACTAATGAAAGGACTGGAATACTGACCTTGCAGAAGGCATTATAATGACTCTGAGCGGGAGGTTTATCATTCGAAAAGTAAATCGAATTGTGTTCTGAGAAGGGAGGCTCGTCAAGATATGAAAACGCTAACCAATTCTGCAATAAAGTAAGTAAATAAATAATTAATTAATTAACAATAAAAAGAAAGAATTCTTTTTCAGTCTCACTTCCTTACTAGAAAAAGATTGTGTCAACGTCGAAAATAAGATGGTAATCTCTCAACAAGGTTTATATAAAACAGCCACCGACATCTTAGGCTACAAGGAAGCAATAACATGGTTGGGTTGACAAAGCCAGATGAAGAGGAAACAGATGGAGGGAAAAATATTTTCAAGCAAAAAATCGAGCATCTCTGCTGGACCAACTGCTGGAAGCGTAAAAAAGCGAAAAGATGAGATGGAGAAAGATACCAGTCTGCTGCACTTAGTTTCCAACGAAAAACACTGTTCGTTCGATTCCATGAGATAAGCGTTACTCACAACAACAACGTCTTGGTGTGATCCAGCGTAGTTTTGTAATTCTCTCAAGCAAACTTTGCAGGATGATTGTGTGACATCTTCAATCCATACGCTTGCTGCGTCACGTTTTAATCCTGGATTGTAATGTTTGGCAGTCACGAATACCGACGGTATCACAGAGAATTTTCCCTGAAAAATAAATCCGTGTTAGGCAACTCTTAACTCTTAGAAAGCCACGAACAGGATTCATTTTTTTATTTTTGCAAAAAGGAACCCAAGACGTTTGCGATATGCCGGAAATTGGTAAAAGAATAATTTGTAGTACCATGTCATTGTTCGACTATTGGTAATAAGGGTACGGCTGCGCCCTAAGGACAAATCACTGCTGATGCATATTAAAAAGGATCTGTTATTAACTGAGTGACCTCAGTAGAAGTGAGGCGTTTCAAAAGATATGATCTTGAAAAGAATGGAAAGGACAAGAAAACCCAACAAACACCACTCACTGTAGGAAACATGACAGTCGCACAAGTCGTACCAGTCCACCATTGTGACATGCGCACTTCACCAGTCACGCCACCCACTGGAGCACCTTGGTACGCCATCCAATCAACGGTCACGTTTGCATACGACTTTCGTTCGTTATATCCTGCTGCCATCACACAAGCAGTGAATCCGTCGTTATTCACATTTTCAACCCACGATACTGCCGCGTCATGGACGTAAAATTTGTCACTGGTATCCATATGATTGACAGTTATCTGCACTTGAATGGGTTTGTCAGGGTAAAACACAAACGGTTTGAAATGAATGGCATGACAGTGAGAGTAGCCCAAGGATGGAATATGTGGCATGTGGCGACGACCACGCCGAAAAGGAAATCCTAGAAAACACATTTCGAGATGAACTATAGATTAGTATGACAAGATGCGGAGCAAAGGGCATTTCATTTTTACCCAGAACATAAAAATGTTAACAAAGCAGCAAATGAGTGGTTCTTATAAAGAGGGTTGTTACTCTCTACCACAGAAGTCCTGGGGAGAGTTCACAGCGGACAATGTATCGCTTGTCACTGCATTAGGTAAATAGCATGGTAAGCAGTGGAGAGATTAGAACTTGCATCCTGAGCAGAGCTACACGGTGGCAACTGGTCAAGCCTATTAGCGCTAAAGGAAAGGAAAGTGACCACCCATTGTAACTACTACCTCTCGCAGAGAAAAGATTCAGTTCCAGTTATGCTTAAAAAAATATAACTCTAGGAAAGGACGTTATCCAGATATGTTAGGCAGAGATACGTCCGGGTACGAAATGCAAACGACTACTACTAATAATAATAATTTTAGAGAGAAAAATCAGTTTTTTTAAAATTTTGCTTCACTGATACATATACATATATATATATATATATATATGTATGTATCACTGAAGCAAAATATATATAAATATATATATAAAATATTTTCGTTGAGTATTAACTGAAAATGCTTAAATATAAGTGTATCCGCCACTTTTTCTGACCAGCATTCTTATTAGCATTGCTGTTGTCAAACGTCTTAGCAAAATTACGTAACATTCTGTACTTCCATAAAGTCACGCATCTTCGCCGTTTTCCCACCAGGTTACATGGGTAAGTAAATAGCTCATTTGAAAAATTCGCTAAGGGATTAATACTGAAATCTAATAAAAACATAAATCACCTTTTAACAGATTCAAAAACAACTCTAATCACCTTCACAGCTGCCAGGATGTTGCACGGTAAAGTTTAGTCGAAGTAGACAAACTTCTCTTTCAAACAAACATCTGTTATCGTATGTTGTGCCATTTGATGAGCAAACAGGTTCTTTGTAAGATGGGCAGCTATCCACACATACACAGCGAGTATCATGGGGTCCAAACGCCTTACAGAAGCTGTGATAATGACACGTTACGTCTATGCACGGATCCAAATCTGAAGATAAATTAAGCAAATAACAACAGATTAGATTTAAATTGCCCATACCTTAATAATTATTTTTTCGGAATTAAAAATGCACATTACTATGAGAACGTGAGCGAAAAAAAAATTGCTTTGAGCACAATTTTATTAAAGACAATTTTTTTGACAGGTTCAAATTTACCACCATTCTGCACACGGATGCCTCTCGGAAACAAAGGGGCTCTGACGTATATTAAGAAACTATGTAACGTAAATTAAAGAACACGTGACTTTAGATACAAGCAAAGAAGTGTGGATTCTACAAAAATTTCGTCCAATTTACTAGTTGAAACAGCTTTAAGATGCCAATGAGGTGCATTGCAGTTAAATGCAACAACACTGGCGACCCTAAGAAAAGGATAAGAGTGCATATGATCCCGTTTTTCAGTTCCTGAATTTTTGTGTTATGACATCACATATGAGCCTGTTAATTTCGTGATCAGGAGAACCACTGCGCCAAAGAAATTTAGACTTTAAAATTTTCTAAAAAATCTCATTTTCTTGAATACACAAAATTATAGGGACGAAGTTATTGTAGTAACGTGTTCTTTCAGTCAACCAAATCTACAATCCCCCAAAAAAGAGACAACAAAAAGTAGCATTAATTAGAGAAAAGAAGCCCTCCATGATACGACTTCAAAAGATTATAAATTGTACTTGATACACTACAGCATACAGCCTTCACCAAGGTTTTGATATATTGTTTACGTACCTCCAATCACCAGGTAATCCAGTTGTACGATGTCCTTATAATTGGCGTTATTGCTGTATCTTCTCATACACACCTCGGTTTCGTTTGTAAAGGTATGCTAGACACAATCATAAGAAGTATCAGATTATTCATTACAAGCATCATTAGGTATTTTCTTAACAACTATGTCGCTGGGTACACCAAGGTCGCTTAGAAAGCGAAACCGTAGCGTGCACAGGTTGGTTGGAAAAATTAGGAAAAAACAAAACAAAAAAAACTTTTTTGGACTCCTTAAACGACATGAAAATTGAAACAGAGACAATTCTGTAAGTAAGTTAGAAGGGAAAAGATAAGAAGGCAGCCTAAGGACGCAACGGACTAAGAAAAATGGCTCTGAGTTTCATATTTGTTACCTGAATCCACGCAGTAACTGCGTTACAGGTTCCAGAAGCCGAGAAACGAGAGTTGTTGTTATGGTAACTGAGTCTTGGTGAAACCATTACTACCGGAGGGGCATAGAAAGCATCAGTGAACTTTATTATCTAACAAAACAAGAAAAGAATGAGCATTATTATGTTTTTCTACACATATGCGCTATATGATATATGTTGTTTAAATAGTTGAAGATAACAACATTAGAGCTCCATGAACTTATGAAAGATTTTCTATTTATGAATATAAGTGACTGAGAAACCAAAACAGTATAGTTGATTAGTTACTTTACCTGACAGACAGCGTTGTTTTGTTGCTTGTTTAGTAGTGAGTTATTCTTTGTTGTTACAAGGCCATGGATCAAGGTAGAATTCAGCGTCATCAGCTTAACAAATGCTATCCAGTCCTGAAAGACAAGTGAAAAAGTATTAACAATGTTATCAATATATTCTTTCTCAAGTCAAGGTTGTTTCTAAGAGAAGGGAGCCCATTGCTCTGAACCTCTGTAAATCACAGAGTACCCAACATAGGATCTCTATGAAAAAAGCTACGATTTCCTAGTGGGCAAAGGGCAAAGGTAAAGCGCCTGGGACAACTGGGTTCTGCTAGAGCACAGCCCCTGTAAGTTGCAGCAAGCGAGGAACAACTTGGCTGTCGTGTGAGTCTACTCTCAAACATGTAACAGGTGACAAAAGGAATTCACTTACCACCTGGATGTTTTTATGCAGCCCATCAAAAATCTTCGTTTCCCTGAGGCAAACCTTAAAACTGTCCCTGCGTACATCCTCTACCCACAATGCCAAGGCGTCCTGAGGTCTCTTGAGAATTTGGTGACGAACTGTTACATAGATGCTCGGAGGAATTGAGAAACGCTGAAAAAGTAAAAGAGAACGAAATAAATAATCAATAACATTTCTTCTTCACACAAACAAGGATATGATATAAAACGAGGGAAGTGTGATAGAAAAAAATCATTCTGAACTTGAAAGAAGCAAATTGGGTAGAATTTTTGCAGATGAAAAATTAAGAAGAGTTTTACGAATTAAACACAGAATTTGTAAATATAACGATTACTATAAACTTGGCCACGTAGAAACAAAAGGAATCGAAATATCGACTTTCTCACTTAATATTTAAAGCAAAAATTAGCAAAAAATATGAAGATGGGTAAACCTTTTTAAAGATGTATAAATGTTAACCTTTTCAAAGGCGATCCTTTTACACTTTTCTCCAGTGGACCAAGAATCCAACGAGACGGTGTCTAGTTGAGCGCCAACAGGAACAGATTGCAGCGCCATCCAGTTCACTTTCGTAGTCCCACTAGAACCATATCCGTACTCCAAAACACAAACTCTAAATTCTTTATTATCCACAGACTCCACCCAAATAGCCGCGCCATCTCCACCACTATAATTCTTTGTAGCGTGGCTTTTGGAAACGAAAACTTTCACATCCTGCCCGCCATTGAAAGGATTCTCAAAGGAAACCTTTTCACACGCAAACAGACCAGGAGTAGTAATGGTGAAATTGCATATTCCGGTTTTGATACTCAGCGCTGGGAAATACGAAAAAGTAAAAAAAATAAAAATAAGTGTAAAAACAAAATACAGAGATGAACATTCTCTTTTATACCTTCAACGTCTTGGTAAGAAAGTGCAGCTACGAAGAAGAAAGCCGACAACAACTGCACACGGACTTCTTGCTCGGTAAACATTTTGCTTCAAATGAAGAAAAATCCACTCTGTTGAACATTATACCTCTTAGCAATACGTGGCAATATAGTCCAACTTGTTTTTACGCGTTTAGTAGATCTCATTTGCTTTGTTTGGGGGGGTAGGGGGTAAAGATCTTTGAGGTAGTCAATTGTAAGATTTATGCGGAAACTTAGAAGGGTAGGCACGTAGGTCCATTCACTACACTGTCACCACTACCATGGCGATGTATTGAAAAATGCTGGGGAAGAGGTTCCTCTGTTCTTCTGTTTCCTTTAGGTCCTAAAATTATGTTTTCAAAAAAAAAATTTAGGACTTAAAATTTAAACTTTCAAACTCTTCCAGTTGATCTGTCAGGATATTTTATACTATATATAATAAAGGCAAAAAACACAACAACCCACTGAGGAATACAGGAATTTGTGTGAACCTAGAGCACTTATAATCTTGAATAAAAAATAAACCGAACGAAGATTATATCATTTGTTTTATGTGGCCCAAAATTTCACGGACAGTTATTAGGTGAGGTCTCAGCCACGAAATTGATAGCCGACTTAATCATTTCCATGATGCAAGCTTTACTGAATTATTTTGAATCCGAAAAATTATTATATTTACCCCCGCCACAACAAAAGTTAATATCTTGATTTAAATATAATCTAGGGCGAATCTCGACCACAGAAAACTGTATTTTTTTTTTCCTTTCCATACTTTGATGATTAAGTCTTACGAACAAGCACATTCCATCGAACTCAAGCGGGCAGGAACGTTCCATCTTGCCCCCGGAGGTGTAGCTTGTTACATACAGCGAAGAGTTTACATCACCCTGGCCAGTTAACAAAGCAAGCAGTGAAGCAAGAGATATTCATTGAAAACATTTGCGAGTTAGTTATGTGGCATTAACAAGTTGTTCAGATTTGCATTTTAATATTCAGTTTATCGAGTCCGCACACTTTTTTATTCCCTTGTATGTATATTTAGGTTGCTTATGATTTCTGAATATTTGCTTAAAATTAAAATTTTCATGGCTTTTATTAGAAGCAACGTTTTCGTCAAGAAATTAACCAAAGTATTAAAAGACAAACACTTTCCTCTTACTTTTGAATGCTTGATATTGATACGCTGAATTTCATTTACCCATTTCAGACCAAGACAATTATACTGAGATCCGAAAATTGTAATCAGGATACTTGATTAAAATTTAGTTCGCATAAGATCACACAACGATCGTTAGAATTCTGCTTAGTCAGCGTGTTATACTCTGAAAACAAGAAAGAAATTTCAAGGACTCGGTACTGTATGGCTTTTAGTCGTATTTGAGCCTTGAGGGTAAAAACCTTTATTGTTTAGACTCATAGTGTTCCTCTTAATTGTCCAACCTCGACTTAATTTAATGTTTCGCTATAAAGTTTGCGATTCAAGAGAATTATCCTCTTTCGCCGTATTTCTCCTTTATAGCGACCTCAACATAGGTTTGTTACCCCATGTCATATGAAGACGAACGACTTCCGCGAGACAAAGGTAAATAACTATTCTCGTTCCAACGCGTTGTCTATCTCAGAAACCATGAAAGGGTCCAATGATTCCGTTATTTTCTGCTTTTAAAAGGGGGCAATATTGATAAAGATAACCATGGGCTACAAAATGTGTGTTCAAAATCTTAGAGTTATGCTTTTCAGTGGTAAATCCAAGATATACCGGAGTTAATTTTCCCCTTTTTACAGATGTTTATTTTGCATAATGACAACGTGGCAAAATATGTAAGAATCACTGCCTAAACATTTGTTAAATTTCTGTTAAAAGATAAGGTGTAATCTAATTTCCGTTCCTTTTTTCTATTGCAATATTATTGTGAATTAAACTTCCACTTTTGGGCTAAAAAAAATTGATTATTGCAGATTATAGTGATAATTACCCAATCTATTTTATATATTTGCGTGACATACAGGACATTTGGCTAGACCGTGGATATATACTACTCGGTATGAAAAGTGAAAATATGGGAAAACCGCTGCAAAAAAACCTCTTTGATCTATGAGCGCTTTACATTAGGTATAAATGTCGTTCATTTCTATCGTCAATACAACTAATATAAGCAGTGAAAATCATAGTTATACGGTTGGTTGTCCCTCAAGATACCACTCACCTCATGATTACTTCCTGATATCTCTGTTTAGAACTTTGTAATAAAACGAAGAATAACCTTCGTCCTAACTTTGTCGGACAGGCTGATAGCCTGAATAAATTAACCTAAACTTTCTTGGTCAGAACTAATTTTCGGACGTTAAGTGTAGTCATTTCATCACACAGTCAAGAGTATACAAAACGTCACGGTGAACTCAACCTGTAATATGCTCATTTTATACGTTGAAAGCAAAGATTTGTTTAGTCACGAAAAAAAATTCAAATTTAGGGTATTTTCACCACGTCGATTCAACGCGCCATTTACTCATCCGCTTTTTTTTCTCGAAGTAGATGTCAGTCTAGATTCCACAACGTTTTGAGTCATTCTACTCCGGTAAAAGATTGAAAGTGTTTGGTGTTTCAAATATAAGTTAACAAAATGCAAAAAAACCGGTGAAAAAGTTTTTGTTTACAAATGCAAATTAAGCTTAAGTCTTGCGTTACTTTATTTAGTTGACTTGTTCATAAATAAACTTAAAACTAAATTTAATAATCTTTTTTACAGAATGATTTTAAATACAAAAAGAATTCACAACTCCTTCTGAAGAAATTTCCCCGCAAGAGCTAAACAAATGCCTTCAAAAGTTTTATTTTTTGGCAAGAAAAAGCGACGACCGCGGTCGTTCGGTCATTGGGCGCCAAAATTGTAATCGTTGGCAACAGTAAATGAGTTGAAAATCATCCATTTTGTGCTCAATTATCTCACTGTTTTAGTATATACTAAAACAATTATTCACCTCAGTGTCGGTGGCTAGTGGTGAATATTTACCTCGCCGCTTCGTGGCCTCGGTAAAAGCCACCACTAGCCACCTCCACTTCGGTGAATAATTGTTATATATTATTAATTTTGGATCCAGTAACAAAATGAAAATTTTACAAATCGATTAATCTGTAAAAACACTTGAAATTGCTAAACAGAGATGGAAACGACTCCTCATGAAATGCAGAGGCTTCCATCCTAGAGAATAGAGTTTATTTTTGTAGACTAAGAGTGTTCGCAATTAATGAATACATATGGGGAGGCTCTGTCCGAAAAGGCCCGGTACTTTTTGCAGGTTTCAGGTACATATCAGTATGGGAATTATGCCATATGGGTAATTGAAGGGGAGCCACTCGTTTTATGGCCGTTTTGCCCCTTGTATCGTTACATTAACTTTCTCAAATTATGAGGTTTAAGATATATAACACGATCGCATGATACACGATGACCACGATCGTACACTGACAGTCGCACCACGAAAAAAAACTCCTAGTGCTTCAACATGACTCAATCAATAATACAACACTCTTTCGTTTCACAACGCGGTAATGGTATCAATGAGGAATGTGCAATTACAGTCAAACTATCCGTAAGGCCACCACCCAAAATGCGAAGATTTAATGGATCGCTTACGAAAATCAAACCGCAATTGTCTCTTTAGAGAAGAGGTGCCGAAACACCTACTTTTTGGAAGAGAACTTATTGCATGGTTATGATGAGCGTTTTTCCATGTTGCTTCTAATAGTTCTTCTTGTAGTCTGAGTAGCGTATTACGTACAGCGAACTTACAGATCATTCAGTGTGTCTAGTGTGTCTAGAGATTAAAAGCAATGGTAAATTACGTAACCGTCACCCCAAATAGTGGTCGTTTACAAGAGGTTTTAACGTAGGGCTTCCAGTGGAAAAATTTGGTGTTTCGGTTCAGTCGCTTATGGGAGTTGGTAGACTGAAAGCAGTCTCTTTTTTCTCTTTTGAGTCACAGTATATCGAGAGAATGCGTGAGAAGGGATCCGGGGGGTACGCCCTAGAATGACCCGTATGCGGAAGCTCCACCGAAGAGGTCACCTTTTTTCAGCTTCACTAGTACATAAATGGGTAGGGATTTCACCAGTAGAGGTATATGGAAGGGTAAGGAAATCTCCTGTTCGGTGTGTAAAGGACTAAAAGGGTTAACAGACGGTTTTTAAAGGCTTTGTAAAAGTCAAGAACCACTTTCTGCTTTAGTGATAGCGAAGCTCCACGCTCGCGTGAAGCGTAAGCGCACGTGAGCGCCCTATACCTAAAAAAGATTGGTATTCCATCCGAGAAATTTTGGTAATCACGAGACTGTACGCCCGTCCGACCCTCCGTCCGTCTGCACCACAGGTATACCAGTGTAAAATAACTCGATAAACAGGTATGACACCACAGGCAACTCGAGGTGTTTCGGCGGGAAATTGCATAGCCACCCGGACTTTTGGAGAGAAAAAACAACAACAAAGTCGAGTATTTTTCAAAGTTATTTTTGATGTCTACACTCACGTGGATAACAGACAAAGAGCTAGCACGAGTGATTAAAAAAAAAAGGCGACGAATTTCGTTGGAAGAAAAACATGAAAATTTCATTGCGGCAGTGAGAAAATGAGAAATGCTAGTGGCCAGCAAGGTGAAAATGAGCGGCAGTGAAAAAAATAAAAACCGAGCAGGAACACAAGCAAGAACATTTTTGGTGAACGACAGTTCCTCCATAAAAAATCATGTGTAACTTGGAAGCTTCACGTTTTAGTAGTGCAAAACGGCATTGTAGTCGTGCAACACAAAGGACGTGCAAATTTGTTTATTTGCTACTTAGGGGTGCGTTTCTTTTGTAAAATCCAGATCCGGATTCTTAATCCGAAAAACGGATATTTCGTTTCTTTACTAGAATCCAAAAACGGATTTTTGATTCAAATAATCCACAACGGAGGTGGATTCTTTGGATCATATCCAAAACCGGATAATTTGGATACATGATCCGAAGTGTTTTTTTTACCGCAGATCCGTAAAGAGTGAATGCTGTAAGCGGTAACTCGAAACCACTTTAATGCATACGTCAGGGCCCAGTTGTTCGAACGCCTGTTAGCGTTAACCCGGGGTTAAATTTTCACCCGGGTTTCTTTTTCTTTTTATCAAAAGCACTCTCTCGGATTATTTTCTCATTCTTTTTACAGTATCCAATCATCAACTTGTAGGCAAAGAGAATTCAACTGAATTGGCTTTTTAAGCTCTCACATCTGAGTTCAAATTTTGCACCAACCCTGGGTTATCTTAACCTGGCTTCGAATAACCCGGCCCAGCTTTTTGACAACACTGCTCAGTTACAGGCCATTTTGGAACCCGAGGCATGGATTAAACGATCGATTTTATCCGTTTTATCGGGGTGGTAAAATCGCAATACAAACAGGCCCTGCATTGTTCTAGTTCACAAGAAAAAAATTGCTGCTCAACTTCGCCCGCGAGTGTTGCAAGACTGCTTTTCCAGTAAATATCTTATGGCAAGACTCGGTGCTTCATTTAGCCCTTCTAAAGCAGTATCCTTGAGATAATCGTCCAGAATACAATCAACGAGTCAGCAGCCGTGTTATTCTTTCGCCGGGATACCGTCGATATTGTGGGTCCTTTCTTTGGAAATGAATGAATAATAATACTTTTTTGAATAGAACGTTTCTTCTCTTAACGAAAAATCCTAACGATCCGGATTTTTGATCGGATCTTGGATTTTTGTAAAGAAACGCACCCTAGATCTATTTATTTTGTTGCCGTTCTCTTTGCCGTTGCCGTTTAGCATTACTTTTTGTTGTTGTTGTTTGTAACCAGAGACTCGCCTTTAGCCCTGGCTAAATCAATATATTTTATTCATTCATTTTATTCAAGAACACCTAGCGTTGGTGGAATGGGAGCTCAAGACCCTACAGCAAACATTGGGAACCGTTCAGAAGCTGGCCCAGAACAGTCAGCAGTGTCGATCCCTTGCTGCTGCCCTACATGCCTGACGGCATTCATGGGCATGATTAGGTGAGTAACTGAGTGAGTTAAAAGACAGTACATTCATAGCAGTTAAAAGGGATGCCGTGCTCTAAACTAGGTATGTGAAAAGGGGCACCATTTGTCAATAGAACGTATACGGCAGGGGTACCTTTTCTATCGAAAAATGGTCTATCAAAGGCCAAGGGGTTGAAACTCGAAACGGAGCCTCCACGCATAAAACACAATTGGGTAGCCCCCGTCCCTCCGGTGATGGGAGCGGTGAAGTCGCGAGGAACGAGCCAAAACTAATTTGCGCGTGTCTCTAAGGAGTTCGTGCCACTGGTCATCCTAGACAGTTTGGCATGCCAGCTTAATATATTGGAACTTTAATCACGTCCCTTAATTCAAACGATAGTCCATCCTGGGGGGTCAGTAGCAACTACTTACGGAAGCAAGATTTACTATGAATTTTTTCATCAATCTGAATCATCACTTGCGTCCTGTCGATCGGTGAAGGAGGGAATGGAGAATCCCCTTGGAAATAGGCGAGGAATACGGATATAATAACAAGCATGCTATGCAGCTAGTTTAACTGCTGCAGTAGGTTTAGCCTGCGAAAACATCCGTTTCTCCTCGCTCTTCGCCGCTTGGGACGTTTCGCGCGAAACGTCCCCAGCGGCAAAAAGCCAGGAGAAACGGATGTTTTCGCAGGCTACAGTAGGCTATCTACGTTAAATTGTGTATTTCCATGGTTTGGGGGGTAAGAATGAAAGCCGACACTATTGAATCACCCACTTTCTTAGTTTTTATTGTGCCATTTAATACAGTACCTCTTAGTAATTCTTAACTTAGTTCCTGGTGTTGAATAATGCCGACGCGTTAAGCTTCCTTAAAAAACAAAACCCTTAAACTTTGAGGAAGACTTCCGTTATGGTGACTTCCTATCGCACAAAGACTTTCCAAAAATCGCCACGTGACACTCCCACACCATAATCGTCGCATTCCCACCTGCCAGACTGTTCAAGAAGCCAGTGGTAAGCTGAGTATTTAAAAGCAGGGTGGTCGTATAAGCTGTTCTGATCTCTCTCGTGCCCCCATTTGCCGGGTTTGCAGGTGCAGGTGAAACACCCTTCAGTGTTCTTACATAACCCATTTCTGTCACAGTTATGGATTTTGCTTGTACATTCGTCGATATCTACATGAAAATCATAAAACTGCATTTATTTTACGTTTACAAGGCAAGCAAACTGATAATTCTTCCTTTACGTTCTACTCTTTCAAATCTACGTTACAGATGAACGCGATGGCTTGTGTGGCTATGGTAGTGTTATAAAATTACCTGGACAATTTGTTCAAAAGCTGAATAACGCTATCCGCTAGATAAATCACCATCCAGTAGATAGCGCAGTTAGTTTCACTAATACTTATCCACTCTGTAGTGATTTATCCGAAGCAAAGCGCTATCTAACGTTTGAACAACCGGTGCCAGGGAGAATAAATTCAAGCAATGGAATGAACGCACGTGCTGGATGTATAAACTATTGTTAGGTGATTAAGAACACTTAGGGTGGATTTCCACTGCCGCGTAATATTTATGTGCGTACGCAAGTAAAATGTACGCGCGTAAATATAATAGAGGCATTCACGGCCCTGGAGGCAATGTATGAAAGGCCGCGTGTAAAAGTTGAGCGAGGTTCAAGTTTTACGTTTACGCGCAACCTTTGATACATAGCCCTTATTTTATATACGTACTTAAAACTAAAGCGAAATATTGTTTCACTTATGCGCCGAAAAAGACAAGGTAATACCTTCCTTGACATTTCCTCCCGACTTTCCTCTACTCAGACATGTCAGACCCCTTGGTGCTTTTTATTGCCTTCAGTCTGAATTGGGGCGACCTTGAGGTCTAAAAGTGAAATTTTCGTTTTCGAGTTTTTTTTTGTTTTTCAAATCAAATCAACTGTTACGTTATTACCAGTGAAGTTCTTAAGTCAAAACAAATATATCCCCAAACGGGAAGTTCGTAATTGTTTTGATTAAAGGAATCAAAATTCGTGTAAAAGGTTGTTCCACACTGAAAATTAAAAAGACCTGTCTCAGCCCTGGTGACAATTCAGTCCTGCAGGCCAAAGTCTGAATCAGCCCTTCCTGGAGCCATTTGAACACAATCCAGGCCAAAAAAGCTCAATCAAAAGGCTATTCCACCCCACGTTAGGGCCCATTTCAGCCCTGGGACCAAATCAGCCCTAGCTAATTAATTGGACTGTATTGGCACTGATTTAAGGGCACCAAATTAGACTCATAAATAGGACTGTATTTTACTTATCGAAACGGCCGTATTTTTAGGGCTAAAACAGATCTGTCTGATTTAGAGTGCACACATTAGTGCAAGTATTCTTTTACTGCTCAAAATTCCGATTAAATGCCCACTAGGGGCTTATCAGAAAGTTTTGACCACAAAAGATAGAGACAATAATAATAGTTCTGTACATCCACTATAAAGCATATTTATTTAGTCTATAATTTAATAAATCAAATCAGAACAGAGGACAACTAAGTCGGTCGATCAGTTTGCGAAGCAAAAGGGCAAAATATGGAAGACATTTAAAGCAAAGTTCAGTACTTACCAACGCATTTGCCGCCATTTCCAGAGTATCCAGCTTTGCAAGTACATTTGTATGAGCCCACGGTATTCTGGCAAGCAGCATTCACATTACATCTGTGATAGTTAGTTGTGCATTTGTCAATTTCTAAAAGAAATCACTGTGTTTCATTCACTCACATTTCCTTTGCTACGTGCTTATTTTCTGAAATGATTCTCAACTTGAATTCATCATAAAACTCTTGAAAAGAAAAAACGAAATTCTTTGAATTTTACCAAACACTGCACACAATGCTTTTATCTCACGTTATGACACCTTAACAACTGTCTAATAAGCTTGGCTGCATGCCCATTTTTACCTTGATATAGTCGTACGAGTTTGAAACAAACTGAAACAAAGTTAATAACAGTGGAATGGCTATAAAGCCCTACAAGCGCCTTTATTATAATAGTACGTTTTTTTGTTAGAGGTGTTTGGACTCAACCGACGGTGTGAAACGTTCAATAGCATTCTTATCATTTTGATCCTTTTCACCAATAAAAACCTAGCCTGTGTATAGACGCCCCCTCACCTCAAAAAAGGGGGAGGGGGCGTCCGCTGTACACAGGCCGGCTATAAAAACGTCGCATTCATTTATTGTGAAAAAAAAAGAAAAAATCTAAATCTTAAACTTTGATGCATTCTCAACCAATCTCCTCTACTAACTGACTGAAAGATGATACTGCATTAATGTGCCCTTACATTAGATGGCTTTTTTGTTGTTTTGGTTACATTCCTGGCATAAAATATTGAAGTGAGCCACAACCCTTTACAGAACATAAGATTACCCCAGGTGCCAACTAACAGATCATTTAATGTAAGTTGTAAAACGGACCTGATGACCGCTTTTACCTCGAACACAAGTATAGTTATAGCAGTTATCGCAGGAAACGTCGTTCAAAGTGTAGCCATCACTGGCACCCAGCGTGTGAACACAGTCTTCGTTTTTCCTGTTGTTTGGTTGTTGCGGAGCCCAGAACCGAAAACTGGTTATTTCCTTGTTTGTCCAGACAAATGATCCCTCAACGCTTCGGTCATTAAGTCCAATCCATGATCGCTCTCCTTTATGACGGTGCTGAATGTAGACATTTTCTTCTTGGTTGTGCACTGTTACCAGATACGAGTTCATTGCTGAACAGTTGGACACAGCAGTCACCCAAGGTGCGCATACAGAGCTTGTTAAATAGCAGTATCCATTGAAGTAATCCCATCCCGATGGACAGATGTCTGCGCGTATACAAAGTAGGAATTAGTGAACTGCAAAATGATATTGCTTAAAATGTATGGCTTTAGGAGCAGTTACATACTTCGGGCATTTTTGTTATTTCCGGTTTTGCGATAAAAAAGGAAATGGAAAAGCAGAAGCTTTTTGTTCAGGACAAAATTAATAAATGCAATACATAAGAGAAAAAGAACTGCAAGTATTAATATATAGATTTAGCCAGGGCTAGAAGCGAAACTCTGGTTAATAATAGGTGGTTTTCACGTTACGTCATCGCCGCCATGCTGGTGGACGGTAAACAAAAGATCGCTCATTAGCTCGCTTTGTTTGTCCACCAGCATTTGTTCATTTCACCATTGTTATTTGTGTCTCCCGAGATTGCATGAAAACCACCTATACTTGTAAACAAAAAAAATTAAATGGTGTAATATGCTAAACGGGACGGCAATGAATATGGCATCAAGATCAATAGATCTAATTAGCAAAAAAAATAAAAACAAATTGCACGTGCAGCACACTCTTTTTTTCTAATTAGCAAAAACGAACAAATTTGCACGTGCAGCACACTTTTTGTCTTTGTTTGCAGTTGTTTTGCACAACTACAACGCTGTTTTGTAGGACTAAAACGTCAAACTTACTAGTTACACATTATTTTTGTGGAGGAATGGTCGTATGTGCTTACCCAATATTTTGTCTCCTGTGTTCATGTTCGCTTTTATTTTTCACTGCCGCTCATTTTCACCTTGCTGGCCGCTAGCATTTCTCATTGTCTCACAGCCGCTTTGAATTTTCATATTTTTCTTCCTACAAAATTCGTCTCTTTTGTTTTCAATTACTCGCTCTAGCTATTTCTCTGTTATCCACGTGAGTGTAAACATCAAATATAACGTCGAAAAAGACACGACTTTGTTGTTGTTTTTTCTTTCTAAAAGTCCGGGCGGCCAGGCGATTTCTTTCCAACTACAACTTTGAGTTGCATTTGGGTTGCCATACCTGTTGATTGAATTATTTTACATTGGTATGCCTGTGGTGCGGACGGACGGTCGGGCGGGCAGGCGGTCTGAGTACGGTCACGTGATTACCAAATTTTCTTGGATGGTTAGTTTATCTCATTTTTTTTACCCATGGTGCTCCGCTGCGTGCGATTCGCGCGCGAGAGCTCCGCTATAAAGCACTCCATTATACACATTAATAGGTATTTGGAAAAAGGGATGAACGTTGTTTTTTTTCATCACCCGAATACAATTTTTATTATTTCCTCCAGTTTTTGTGCATTCCTTTTGTGTGTTGCTTGTATTCATTTTTTTTTTTATTCAGAGACTTGTAAGTACTGAAGTTTATTAGTTTTGTAGCAGTAGAGCTCTTACCTGACAAAACTGTGTACGTTACTGACAATGGGTCATATTTTGCTTCATATAATTCTTTGACACAAACACGAAAGCCTGTCTTGTTGATGTACTGCAAGAAAGGGATCTTTATCAGCTCATTAAGTAAATACACAGACGGCGGACGGCGTATTTTCTCCCTTGCTAGCAGGAAAAAAACTATAGAACAGTTCAGGTAGGTCTTGACCAGAAGACTTTCCAAATTTCTCAGTTTGACGCATATTAAGAAGTGATCAACACTGTTCAACAAGTTTGCACGACAGGGCTTCAAAGGGAAGAGGAAAGAGGACAATTGAGTGCGCGTTATTACATGTCAACAACTTAAACCTGTCATGCGATAATTGCTGTAACTGCTGTCAAACTTCAAATGTTTGGAGGCAAAATATGTCGCGTTCACGGGAAAGTAGACCGCGCGCGTCACGGAAACAGCAGATAAAAATAACCTTCATCGCACGCGTGGGAACTTTCAATAGATTTCAAATAATCATCATGGGGCACAGGGATTCGCTCTCTTAGCTCATTCTCTCTTGCTTAACATCAATTTTAGTTTGCTCATTGCTTTTTGTTTAACAACATTTGCTTACCTTCTGCTATACAGCTACACAACTTTTTTTTAAACACAGTTTTAACGACTTTCCATAATTCATGGCCATTTTACTAGCTAAGGGTTATGCCTGATCGTTAGTTAAACATAAAATTTAACTTTTGTGCTGTTTTTCGCACGATCTGTATTTTATAAGCTGTTATTCTCAGTAGAACGCATTCTGTATTGTAAAATAGACAGTGTTAGTTACAGTCATTCGTATTTTGAAATTCATAAGGTTTTTAAACATGCACACAACACATGTAAGTGTGGTTGCAAGTGGTATGCTACACAAATTCACAAAATATATTAAAAAGTAGATAAATAAACAAATAAAAACATACCTCTACCCACTCAGCTATGCTGTTATGAATTGGACTCTGACTTCCATTTTTGGTGGAATGATTGGCAGAAACAAACACATGTGGATTTGAGTTATAAACTTTAGTAAAAGAAACGTCCTGTCAAAAGAAGTTACATAATTGTAAAAATTCAGTCTCTGACATTTACATAAAGGTAAAGACTTTTTCCGCATTAGGGCATTTATAATCTATATTTCATTTTCATTTTAAATGTTCACTGAAATATTACAGGCAGCCTGCTAAACTGACTAAATGCAACTACCATCACTAGAAACATGATAGGGGAACCGTTTTCTTTTGCTCTCTGATAGTAAATTTATTCAATAAAATTAAGTGCACTGTGACGGGAATTGAAACCAATAAGACTAATGAAAGGACTGGAATACTGACCTTGCAGAAGGCATTATAGTGACTCTGCTCGGGAGGTTTATCATTCGAAAAGTAAATCGAATTGTGTTCTGAGAAGGGAGGCTCGTCAAGATATGAAAACGCTAACCAATTCTGAAATAAAGTAAATAAATAAATAAATAAATAACAATAAAAAGAAAGAATTCTATTTCATTCTCACGTCCTAACTACCAAAAGATTGTGTCAACGTCGAAAATAAGATGGTAATCTGTCAACAAGGTTTATATAAAACAGCCACCGACATATTAGGTTACAAGAAAGCAATAACATGGTTGGGTTGACAAAGCCGGATGAAGAGGAAACAGATGGAGGGAAATATATTTTCAAGCAAAAAATCGTGCATCTCTGCTGGACCAACTGCTGGAAGCGTAAAAAAGCGAAAAGATGAGATGGAGAAAGATACCAGTCTGCTGCACTTAGTTTCCAAAGAAAAACGCTGTTCGTTCGATTCCATGAGATTAGCGTTACTTACGACAACAACGTCTTGGTGTGATCCAGCGTAGTTTTGTAATTCTCTCAAGCAAACTTTACAGGATGATTGTGTGACATCTTCAATCCAAGCGCTTGCTGCGTCACGTTTTAATCCTGGATTGTAATGCTTGGCAGTCACAAATACCGACGGTATCACAGAGAATTTTCCCTGAGAAATAAATCAGGAATCAATTTCGTATTTATTGCAAAAAGGAACCCATGACATTTGTGATATGCTGGAAATTGGTAAAAGAATAATTTGTACTACCATGACGTTACGTTGTTCGACTAATGGTCATAAGTGTACGGCTGCGCCATTACGACAAATCATTGCTGATGCATATTAAAAACGATCTGTTATTAACTGAGTGACCTCAGTAGAAGTGAGGCGTTTCAAAAGATATGATCTTGAAAAGAATGGGAAGGACAAGAAAACCCAACAAAGGCCACTCACTGCAGGAAACATGACAGTCGCACAAGTCGTACCAGTCCACCACTGTGACATGCGCACTTCACCAGTCACGCCACCCACTGGAGCACCTTGGTACGCCATCCAATCAACTGTCACGTTAGCATACGACTTTCGTTCGTTATATCCTGCCGCCATCACACAAGCAGTGAATCCGTCGTTATCCACATTTTCAACCCACGATACTACCGCGTCATGGACATACGATTTGTCACTGGTATCCATATGATTGACAGTTATCTGCGCTTGAATGGTTTGGTCAGGGTAAAACACAAATGGTTTGAAATGAATGGCATGACAGTGAGAGTAGCCCAAGGATGAAATATGTGGCATGTGACGACGACCACGCTGAAAAGGAAATCCTAGAAAACACATTTCAAGATGAACTATAGATTAGTATGACAAGCATGCGGAGCAAAGGGCATTTAAAAATGTTAACAAAGCAGCAAATGAGTGGTTCTTAGAAAGAAGGTTGTTACTCTCTACCATAGAAGTCCTGGGAAAAGTTCACAGCAGACAATGTGTCGCTTGTCACTGCATTAGGTCAATAGCATGGCAAGCAGTTATGGAGAGATTAGGACTTACATCTTGAGCAGTGCTACACGGTGGCAACTGGTCAAGCCTTTTAGCGCTAAAGGAAAGGAAACTGAACATTTACTGTAGCTACTACTTCTCGCAGAGAAAAGGTTAGTAGTATAGGGTGCACCGAATTAACCCCTTTTTTGGGGAGGATTCTCATTAAGGTGGGGAGGAATACATTAACGCCGATGACGTCATAGGCTATTGTCTTGATCTCATGAATAAAATGCGCAGGAATCTCATAAAGATAAGGTCATGTGCTATTTTTATCTTGTGGCGGTCATGGTTGGTATAACCCGTTTGACAGGTTAGTTATTTTTGGAAGATGATGTTTATGTATTCCGAGGTACTATGATGTCATAGTTGTTTTGATTGGTTGACCGGAATTAGAAAGACGCTCATTGGCTGTCTCGTTTGACGAAGCATTCTGGTTGGTTGCCGTATTTTTATTGTTTGAACGGCATAAAAGCCTGCTCACTGCCTTCCCGCATACTAATTTGGATTTCCTGCATACTAATTAAGTGTCGTCCTGCATACTAATTCGGTATAGGTTTACTAATGAGCGTTTCTCTACTACAATAGGAACAATAGGCTTGCCTAGACTTGCCCGGTAAGTAACTTAATTAAAAGGAAAATAAGAGCGATCACCTAGCAACGCCAGAAACAGCTTCCTATTTCTTATTTAGCGCTAAAACTCGGATATATATAAACAAGACATACACAAAGGGGAGCTGAAAACGCTTTATTTCAAGTTTGTCTGACTATTACAGAACTGTTTTCTCCGTTTTATCTCGAGGAAATGAAAAACTATTGAAGTCTTGTCATTTTCACGCACGGTTAATCAGTTAATTATGCGAGTTCGCAAGCCCAAAGTTGAATACAAATTAGCTCTACAGGAAAGACCCAAGGGAGAGAATCTTGACGTATTATTATAAAACAAATAACTTAACAAGGATCAATTAAAACACGCGACTCATATTTGCTAGCAATAAAAACACAAGAGAGATACCGTTTTAAAAAACTTTATTAAAAACCAGTGACAAAAAGAGTCAAATACACAGGAATGGAAATTAATTAATCTTCATCTTCGTTCTCCTCTGTAGAAGGGGAATAGAAATTGGTTTCCAACGTCTTCGCGTTTTTGTGTGTAATTGCTCCGCAATCGTGACATCGAAGAAAGCCCTCTTTCATGTATTTTCTCTCCTCGGGGATCTGGTGATCGCATATAGGACAAATCGTGTAGTAATCGTGCCAGAGGCATTTAGGACATTTCATGATCAATGTCCCGTACACATTAGAGTTCTCGCAGTGTTCACAGGGACGTTTAGAGTGAAAGGTGGTGGACGTTTCAGGGTTACTACTTTCTATCTCCTGACTGTCGTTTTCAGTGTCGTTGTCGCTCTCTTGGGTGTCTTCCGCTTCAACGCCATTCTCAGAAGCCATTTCCTCCTCCTGATTTTCAATATCCGATGAACTCTCCTCATTATTACTCTCGTTATCAGAAGTATTTTCTACATTTTGGTAGCCTTTTTCCTTTTCTATTAAATCACTTAACAACTTTTTGTTCTTGATTAAACCTTTATCGATTCCTAACTCTGCAAGTCCATCTAGAAACGTATTCAGCGCACGAGGTTTGGTAACCTCATTGTTATAAGGGAGTAACACATACTCAACTAGCTCAGCGATGTTTGTGACGGGAATAGTGCGTTTATTTCGAACTAATTGTCCGCTGGGGGTCCAGAAAAGAATATTTTTGGACGCGGCCATACTATGCAGCAAATCAGAAGCACGCTTTTCCGGCACTGCTCGGGAAAGATGACTCAAAACATCTTTTATTCTTGGTTCTTCTTTTTTTCTTGGTTCTTCATCCTCGCTTTCATCACCAGAACTTTTGCTTTCTTCATGTTCACTCTCGTGTTGTTCTTCTTCAACCAAATCTATCTTTCTCTTCATTTTTGATGAGAACCCGTGACAGACTTAGGTTCGGATGATCAACCTAGCGATGCGTCACCTCTTTTATAGCATTAGAAATCCTAGACTTGTAACAGCAGGTACCAATAGGTCTTGAATAAAACCATCACCCTCTTGTACAAGGATTCGCTTCTTTGTTTTGTAAGGGACATTAGTTTTTGCTAGGTTGACTAGAGCATCCTTATATGGCAACACGTTCCGCTTATTTTCTTCGGGGATAAGAATGTATTCCTTAAGTATATTGTATAAGACTTGGACTAGTGCATGTAGTTGTTGTGGAGTAGCTGTCCGTAAAAGAAACTGGCGCTGATAAGCAGGGCAATCAGCTAACAGCTGAAGAAAACCACGATTGTTGTTCACTACACGAGACATTGCTACAAAATGAACTAAAGATGGCAGTTGGTGGTCTTTTATAGAATCTGGTGGAAGGAAAAACAATAGAAATGTGGTGGCGGTGGTGGTGGTGGTGGAGGGAAAACAATGGAAATGTGGTGGTGGTGGTCGTGGTGGTGGTGGTGGTGGTGGTGGTGGTGGAGGGAAAATAATAGAAATGTGGTGGTGGTGATGGTGGTGGTGGTGGAGGGAAAACAATAGAAATGTGGTGGTGGTGGTGGTGGTGGGAAAACAATAGAAATGTGGTGGCGGTGGTGGTGGTGGAGGGAAAACAATAGAAATGTGGTGGTGGTGGTGGTGGAGGGAAAACAATAGAAATGTGGTGGCGGTGGTGGAGGAAAGAAAACAATAGAAATGTGGTGGCGGTGGTGGAGGAAAGAAAACAATAGAAATGTGGTGGCGGTGGTGGAGGAAAGAAAACAATAGAAATGTGGTGGTGGTGGTAGTGGTGGTCTTGGGTGAGGAAAACAATAGAATCTTGTGGTCTGAAAAACTATATAAATGCGTAACATTCTACCTCCTTCTCAGTCTACATTTTGCTCCTGAGGAGTTGACATGAGTTGGTTCTGTTCTGTCTGCGAAAAATCCTTTAGTAGAAAAGATAGTATGCAAAGGCACGTGATGTCTAAACACCGCAATGCTGGTCTCACCCCATTTCAAACAGTTCCAATATTTTCACAGAAATGTCAGCGGTTTCGCTTCGAGCATCCTTTCACCTCCATGATTGCCGGAATGACCGGGTCCGGAAAAACGGCCTGCGTTCGATCGCTATTACAACAAGCTTCAGAGACCATTTATCCTCCCCCGGAGAGGATCGTTTGGTGTTATTCACAATGGCAGCCTGCGTATACACAAATGTTAGTCGCCATGCCAAACATTGAATTCGTCAAGGGAATTCCTACGGCTTTGGAGCAAGATTCCTATTTTGATGTGAGCAAACGGAATTTGATCGTGTTTGATGATCAGATGATTGACGCCGGTAAGGACAAGCGAATTGTGAACCTTTTTACTCGTGGTTCTCATCATCGCAATCTGAGCGTGATTTATATCGTGCAGAATCTATTTCATCAGGGGAAAGGTAGCCGCAGCATAAGCCTAAACAGCCATTATCTGGTGTTATTCAAGAATCCACGAGACAAATTGCAAATCTTGACTCTGGCGAAGCAAATGTATCCTGGGCAGACTGATTTCTTTTTAAATAAGTACGAAGAGGCTGTAAAAAGACCTTTTGGTTATCTTCTGATTGATCTGAAAACTACTACCCAAGATAATTGTCGACTGCGAACAAACGTCCTGCCCAGTGAAGAAGGCTTTAACCAAGCAGGGTTTCAAGAAAATATTCCTCAAGAGCTCCTAAAATATCTGAAGCAGCAAACTCTTTCGCCTGTCCCACTTCTCCCAGCTATGCAAGAAATACAGGGCAACATGGATGACGTGCTTTCTCGAAACGATCTTCGGGACGATCAAAAAGCTAAGCGATACGTTCAGTTGCAAAACAGATACCTGGCTTTTAAAGAACAATTAAATACAAGAACACGACCGGAAGAAATAATCAGTACTGTTCCAGACTTAACATCAAGGACACAAGATTCTTCGACAGCAACGACAGCATTCTCGACTCCCCTCAACCCCTTTAATGTAACACCTGAATTAACACAAGCGGCTATCTCTCAAAAACCTGACAAAGAAAGCCTCACCCCTCCACCACCCTTAAATCCTGCTTTCCTGACCCCTCCTCCTACAGTAGAAACCCCATCACCACAAGGACCGAAGCGCAAAAGGCGTCGGATTCAATTTGTAAATTATTTGGATGATCATAAATCTCATGGCAAACAGCTGAAGAAACGTCGGCATAAGAAATTCAAACCTTACAAGTACTCCATGGGCGAAGATGAAAATTAATAAATTTCCATTCCTGTGTATTTGACTCTTTTTGTCACTGGTTTTTAATAAAGTTTTTTAAAACGATATCTCTCTTGTGTTTTTATTGCTAGCAAATATGAGTCGCGTGTTTTAATTGATCCTTGTTAAGTTATTTGTTTTATAATAATACGTCAAGATTCTCTCCCTTGGGTCTTTCCTGTAGAGCTAATTTGTATTCAACTTTGGGCTTGCGAACTCGCATAATTAACTGATTAACCGTGCGTGAAAATGACAAGACTTCAATAGTTTTTCATTTCCTCGAGATAAAACGGAGAAAACAGTTCTGTAATAGTCAGACAAACTTGAAATAAAGCGTTTTCAGCTCCCCTTTGTGTATGTCTTGTTTATATATATCCGAGTTTTAGCGCTAAATAAGAAATAGGAAGCTGTTTCTGGCGTTGCTAGGTGATCGCTCTTATTTTCCTTTTAATTAAGTTACTTACCGGGCAAGTCTAGGCAAGCCTATTGTTCCTATTGTAGTAAACCTATACCGAATTAGTATGCAGGACGACACTTAATTAGTATGCAGGAAATCCAAATTAGTATGCGGGAAGGCAGTGAGCAGGCTTTTATGCCGTTCAAACAATAAAAATACGGCAACCAACCAGAATGCTTCGTCAAACGAGACAGCCAATGAGCGTCTTTCTAATTCCGGTCAACCAATCAAAACAACTATGACATCATAGTACCCCCGGAATACATATGACATCATCTTCCAAAAATAACTAACCTGTCAAACCGGTTATACCAACCATGACCGCCACAAAATAAAAATAGCACATGACCTTATCTTTATGAGATTCCTGCGCATTTTATTCATGAGATCAAGACAATAGCCTATGACGTCATCGGCGTTAATGTATTCCTCCCCACCTTAATGAGAATCCTCCCCAAAAAAGGGGTTAATTCGGTGCACCCTATACTACTAAGGTTCATTTCCAATTATGCTTAAAAAAATATAACTCTAGGAAAGGACGTTATCCAGATATGTTAGGCAGAGCTACGTCCGGGTACGAAATGCATACGACTACTACTACTACTACTACTACTATACTACTAATCTCAGAGAGAAGAATCAGTTTTAAATTTGCTTCAGTGATACATATATATAAAAAAAACAAATATTTTCGTTGAGTATTGACTGAAAATGCTTAAAACATAAGTGTATCAGCCACTTTTTCTGACCAGTATTCTTATTAGCATTGCCCCTGTCAAACGTTTTAGCAAAATTACGTAAAATTCTGTACTTCCATAAAGTCACGCATCTATCGCCGTTTTCCCTCCAGATTACATGGGTAAGTAAATATCTCTTTCAAAAAATTCGCTAAGATACTGAAATGTAATAAAAACAAATATCACTTTTTAACAGATTCAAAAACAACTGTACTAACCTTCACAGCTGCCAGGATGTTGCACGGTAAAGTTTAGTCGATGTAAACAAACTTCTCTTTCAAACAAACATCTGTTGTCGTACGTAGTGCCATTTGATGAGCAAACGGGTTCTTTGTAAGATGGGCAGCTATCCACACATACACAGCGTGCATCATGGGGTCCAAACGCCTTACAGAAGCTGTGATAATAACACGTAACGTCTATGCAGGGATCCAGGTCTGAAGATAATTAGGCAAATAACAACAGATTAGATTTAAAGTGCCCATACCTTAAAAATTTTTTTTTTTAGAATTGAAAATGCACATTACCATGAGAAAGTGCGCGAAAAAAAAATTGCTTTGAACACAATGTTATTAAAGAGAATTTTTTGACACGTTCAAATTTACCGCCATTTTGGCACACCATTTGTGCAAGTCTTCACTCGGATCCCTTTCAGAAAAAAAGGGGCTCTGACGTAGATTAAGAAACTATAACGTAAATTAAGGGACACGTGACTTTAGATGCAAGAAAACAAGTATAGACTCTGCAAAAATTTCGTTTAATTACAAACTGAAACTGCTTTAAGATGCCAATAAGGTGCATTGCAGTTAACAACACTGGCGACTCTAAGAAAAGGATAAGAATGCATATGATCCCGTTTTTCAGTTCCTGAATTTTTGTCTTATGACATCACATATGAGCCTATTAATTTCGTGATCAGGAGCACCAGTGTGCCAAAGAAATTTAGTCTTAAAGGGACAGTGTCCCGATTATGCGCACGCGCGAGCGTCATCTGTTTTTTCTTCAAAAGACAATGGAAGTGTCAAATTGACTCGACAAGATTTCCTTCCGGACCGCACCGCCGACAGAGATTTGTTGTTTATATTCTCAAGTAATATTTTAGACTTTCGAAGAAGTCTTTCGTCTTATATAAAAATTTGGCACGCGGTTCGAAGACTCATCGCGATTTTATCGCTAGCTGGGCCGCCTCGCGACCCGAAAATCTCGTTCCGCTCGCTTTAAAAACATATTTTCTAATTTGAAACTCGTGTCGGAGGTCAATAGCTCCAAGTCCAGTAATATCTGCCTGATTTGCTCGCGTTCTAGCCTCAAACGTTTGAAAGACATAAATAAAAATGCGATCTCAACGCTATGAATCATCACAAAGGTTAGTCAAAAATGATATCATGATTTCATGTCACTAGTTTTTCAAAACATGTACGCCTGTTTGTTCGATTTTGTCGGCCGTAGGGAGATTCATTTAAAAGTTTACTAACGCGTTGTTGCAAATTTCTGCTTCACGAAGCTCCCCTCCACAAGATCTCCTCAGTCACATCAATGTCTCAACGGTTTCTTTCTTACAGTCTTTATTGTTGCTGTTTCATTTCTGCGTATTCCTTTCACAATTATCTGAGCTTGTATGGAAGCTAGCAGAAGAAATAAGCCTTCAATCGGCATCAAAGTGGTTCCAATCTTTTGGTCCTCCGGCCAACGGCAATAAAAGTAACGCCAAAAAATCCAGATTTTGCCCAAATCGAAACTTAACAGGAACAATATATCATTGATCTATAATCCTGAGAAGTTTTAGTGTCGTATTGAATCCGGCCAAGCGCGATGCAAACGGATTTTTCAAGATTCTCTTACTCTCCTCGCATCTTTTGATTTCGCGACATCCTGTCCAAAAATCAAAGTTTGGTGCATGCGCAGTAACGGGATACTGTTCCTTTAATAGTTTTCAAAAAAAATCTCATTTTCTTGAATACACAAATTTATTGCGACGAAATTATATTAGTAACATGTTCTTTCAGTCAACCAAATCTACAATCCCCCAAAATAGAGACAACAAAAAATAGCATTAATTAGAGAAAAAAAAGCTCTCCATGAAACAACTTCAAAAGATTCATGTCATAAAATGTACTTGATACACTGCAGCATACAGCCTTCACCAAGGTTTTGATATAATTATTGTTTACGTACCTCCAATCACCAGGTAATCCAGTTGTACGATGTCCTTATAATTGGCGTTATTGCTGTATCTTCTCATACACACCTCGGTTTCGTTTGTAAAGGTATACTAGACACAATCATAAGAAGTATCAGATTATCAATCATTAAGCATCATCAGGTAATTTCTTACCATAACTACTATGTCACTAGGTACACCAAGGTCGTTTAGAAAGCGAAACCGTGGCGTGCACAGGTTAGTTGGAAAAATTGGAAAAAACAAAACAAAAAAACTTTTTTGGACTCCTTAAACGACATGAAAAATTGAAACAGAGACAATGCTAAAAGTAAGTTAGAAGGGAAAAGATAAGAAGGCAGCGTAAGGACGCAACGACTAAGAAAAATGGCTCCAAGTTTCATATTTGTTACCTGAATCCACGCAGTAACTGCGTTACACGTTGCGGAAGCCGAGAAACGAGAGTTGTTGTTATGGTAACTGAGTCTTGGTGAAACCATTACTACCGGAGGGGCATAGAAAGCATCAGTGAACTTTATTATCTAAAAAAACAAGAAAAGAATCAGCGTTCTGAAGTTTTTCTACACATATGCGGTATATGATATATCTTGTTTAAATAGTTAACGATAACAACATTAGAGCTCCATGAACTTATGAAAGACTTTCTATTTATGAATATAAGTGACTGAGAAACCAAAACAGTATTGTTGATTAGTTACTTTACCTGACAGAGAGCGTTGTTTTGTTGCTTGTTTAGTGGTGAGTTATTCTTTGTTGTTACAAGGCCATGGATCAAGGTAGAATTCAGCGTCATCAGCTTAACAAATGCTATCCAGTCCTGAAGGACAAGTGAAAAAGTATTAACAATGTTATCAATATATTCTTTCTCAAGTCAAGGTTGTTTCTAAGAGAAGGGAGCCCATTGCTCTGAACCTGTGTAAATCACAGGGTATCGAACATAGGATCTCTATGATAAAAGCTACGATTTCCTAGTAGGCAAAGAGCAAAGGTAGAGCTCAGGGCAACTGGGTTCTGCTAAAGCACAGCCCCTGTAAGTTGCAGCAAGGGAGGAACCGCTTGGTTGTCGTGCGAGTCTACTTTCAAACATGTAACAGGTAACAAAAGGAATTCACTTACCACCTTGATGTTTTTATGCAGACCATCAAAAATCTTAGTTTCCCTGAGGCAAACCTTAAAACTATCTCTGCGTACATCCTCTACCCACAAGGCCAAGGCGTCCTGAGGTCTCTTGAGAATTTGGTGACGAGCTGTTACGTAGATGCTCGGAGGAATTGAGAAACGCTGAAAAAGTAAAAGGGAAAAAAAAAATAATTAATTACATTTCTTTTTCAAACAAACAAGGGTATGATATAAAACGATGGAAGAGTGATAGAAAAAATCATTTTGAACTTGAAAGAAGCAAATTGGATGGAATTTCCTAGTGCAGATGAAAAACAACTAAGAACAGTTTTACGAATTAAACACAGAATTTGCAAATCAGCAAATAAAACGATAGTCATGAACCTGGCAACGTAGATACAAAAGGAATCGAAATATAGACTTTCTCACTAAATTTTTTAGAGCAAAAATTAGCGAAAATATGAAGATTGTTAAAGCTTTTTAAAGATGTATTAATGTAAAGAGAAAAATTAAAATGATCAAGAAAAGTGGAGGACAGATTGCAAGATAACTTTAATGGAAGAAAATAGAGGTAGCAATATATATAACATCTTGGTAAACGAATAAAGAATCGTATTTTATAATGCAACAATGTTATATCGCATGACTTAAAGATATAAGGAAGAAGTCAAATGGAAAGTCCGCAGCTCCTACGAGCTAAATAAAGAAAGAGGAAGTTAAAGCCACTCAGTCAAGCAAAGCTCAAAAAATAACGTAGTGAAATCTTGTGTCTAGGTTTGAGTGAACAGAAATACCTAAATCAGTAAAACTATTAACTTAACGAAAACGCAAGGGGAAACAGCGGTAGCCTTTTCAAAGGCGATCCTTTTACACTTTTCTCCAGTAGTCCAAGAATCCAACGAGACGGTGTCTAGTTGAGCGCCAACAGGAACAGATTGCAGCGCCATCCAGTTCACTTTCGTAGTCCCACTAGAACCATCTCCGTACTCTAAAACACAAACTGTAAATTCTTTATTATCCACAGATTCCACCCAAATAGCCGCGCCATCTCCACCACTATATACCTGTTTGTTGTGTGGCTTTTGGAAACGAAAACTTTCACATCCTGCCCGCCATTGAAAGGCTTCTCAAAGGAAACCTTTTCACACGCAAACAGACCAGGAGTAGTAATGGTGGAATTGCATATTCCAGTTTTGATACTTATCGCTGGGAAATACAAAAAAGTAAAAATAATAAAAATAAGTTGCAAAACCAAAATACAGAGATGAATGATCTCTTTTATACCTTCAACGTCTTGGTTAGTAGGTAAACCTATGAAGAAGAAAGCCAACAACCAGTGTACACGGACTTCTTGCACGGTAAACATCTTGCTTCAAATGGCGAAAAATCCACTCGGTTGAACATTATACCTCTTAGAAATACGTGACAATGTGGTCCAACTTGTTTTTACGTGTTTAGTAGATGTCATTTGCTTTGTTTGTGGGGTTAGGGGGTAAAGATCTTTGAGATAGTTGATTGTAAGATTTATGCGGAAACTTAGAACTGAAACTTCTAATTACCGTCTCCAGCTTGCGACCATTAAAACTGACTGACATTTTTATCCTCTTGCACCCGAATTGTAAATGATCTAAATCATCATCCGTAGACTTGTATTTCTGTCGTGGAGTGAGGTAGAATACATTGTTTTCTAAAATCTCCCACTAACTCTTCCAAATTCAACTCAGGGGAAAAAGGCTCCTGAGAGAAAGTATTTTGCGTTAGGAAAATTTCGTCGTCACTATCCATTGCCGCTCTCACAAGTGTACTGGCCCCCCCAAAAATACCAAGACAAAAATAAAAAAACACAAAAGGTTTGAAATTTGATTGTTGTCGGCTTAGCAAACAAACAATGCGCTATTGTTCTCCGTTTCTCACGTAAGTGAGAACAAGTGGTTTGATCAAAAATTATGACCCGTGAAACGCCCTTTCTCGATGCTGTGTGAAAACCTTTACAATACTTACAATGAAATACGTCATTGTCTGCGGTCGGATCAAAAAATGACAAACAAACAGATGTCAAAAACAAGTGGCCAATTATTGCCCTGTGAAAGACGACCTTTATGTAACCTATACCTCATGAAAAATATCATGAAATAAGTTAGATAAACCCCTCGAACGTCGGTATTAATCTACGGCTCTCGGGATGTATATGGCTTAATACCTCTGTTCTCGGGCTTTATCTCTTACATAAAGGCAAAAAACACAACAACCCACTGAGGAATGCTGGAATTTGTGTGAACCTAGAGCACTTATAATCTTGAATAAGAAATAAACCAAACGAAAATTATATTATTTGTTTTATGTGGCCCAAAATTTTGACAGACAGTTGTCAGGTTAGGTCTCCGCCACGAAATTGATAGCCGACTTCATCTTATCCATGATCCAAGCTTTACTGAATTATTTTGAACCTGATTCTTAAATTATTTTATTCACCAACGCCACAACAAATGTTAATATTTTGATTTAAAGATAATCTAGGGTGAATTTCGACCACAGAAAACTTTCCTGTTCTATGTTATACTTAGATAATTAAGTCAGTCTTACGAACACGAAAATTCCATCGAAACAAGCGGGCGGGAAGGTTCCATCTTGCCTCACTGAGGTGTAGCTTGTTACATATCATATAGCGAAGGATTTACGTCACCCCGGCCAGTTTACAGAGCAAGCAATGAAGCAAGAGATATTCATTGAAAACATTTGCGATTTAGTTATGTGGCATTAACAAGTTGTTAAGATTTGCATTTCAATTTTCAGTTTATCGAGTCTGCACACTTTTTTATTTTCTTGCATGTACATTTAGGTTGCTTATAATTCAGGGGCACCCAATGGATCTGTTCCTCAAAATATCTGTTCTTCAGGCAAATTTTTGCTGGCTGGGAGATGTGGAAGAAATAATAGTCCCTGGAAGGAAAGTGTTGCTGGGAAAAAGATAATTCAGGGTGTCAGAGGGGATTTGAAGTCTAGAATAGCTGCTACGGGTTACTTGTATGGGTTACTGGCCACTAAAGATCTGAATTGTGCCCTATGAAACTTCCCAGTAAGTCAGGTTGCAGGTTGTAAGTTTGCTGGCTGGGAACTCTTCCATCAGTCTTGCTGGGAGTGAGGAACAGATAATTTTTTTCCAGCAATCTCCCAAAATGCTTAAAATAGTCTCAGAAAACTTTATTCACGCTTTGTTGTTGTTTCTAGGTCTTTTTCTCAAAATTTCCCGTTGGGTGCCCCTGATAATTTCTGAATATTTGCCTAAAATTAAAATTTCCATGGCTTTTATTAGAAGCAACGCTTTCGTCGAGAAATTAACCAAAGTATTAAAAGACAAACACTTTCCTCTTACTTTTGAATGCTTGATATTGATACGCTGAATTTCATTTACCCATTACAGACCGAGACATTTATACTGAGATCTGAAAATTGTAATCAGGATACTTGATTAAAATTTAGTTCGCATAAGACCACGCAACGATCTTTAGAATTCTGCTAAGCCAGCGTGTTATACTCCTCAACGCCGAAAAAAAGAAAGAAATTTCAAGGACTCGGTACCGGTAAGGCCTCTAGTCGCATTTGAAACTTGCGGGTAAAAACCTTTATTGTTTAGACTCAGAGTGGTCCTCTAAACTGTCCAACCTCGACTTAATTTAATGTTTCGCTATAAAGTTTGCGATTCAAGGGAATTATCCTCTTTCGCCGTATTTCTCCTTTATAGCGACCTCAACATAGGTTTGTTACCCCATGTTATCTGAAGACGAACGACTTCCGCGAGACAAAGGTAAATAACTCCCGGGGGGGCACTTGGGTATTTTTTAGGTGGGTATGTGCCGCCCGGGACTCCAAATTGGCACCCCGTTCTAAATACAAATTCCCCTAAAATTGATACCCCGTTCTAGAAATGGGCCGAGTTTTTTGTACCCCGTTCTAGAATTCGCCCTAAAACTGATACCCCGTTCTAGAAATGGGCCATTTTTTTATACTCCGTTCTAGAAAGTTTGTAAATTGAAATAGCCCTGTTTTTTTAAAAAGATATTTCTTTATTTGTTCGACTTATACATCAAATAAATGCTTCTTCATAATCAGCAACAATTTCAAGCAGAAGATAAAGCCGTGATCCACAATTTTTTATACCCCGTTCTAGAAAACGCCTCTGAAATGGATACCCCGTTCTAAATCAGGAGCTTCCAAATCACGACCCCGCTGGGCGGCACATACCCGTATAGGTAATGTATGGGAGTACCCCCCCCCCGGAAATAACTATTCTCCTTCCAACGCGTTGTCTATCTCAGAAACCATGAAGAGGTCCAATGATTTGTTATTTTCGTTCTCTTTTTCAAAAGGGCGAAATATTGATACAGATAAGCATAGGTTACAAAAGGTACGTTCAAAATATTAGAGTTATTCTTTTCAGTGGTAAATCCAAGATATGCCGGAGTTAATTTTCCCCTTTGTACAGATGTTTATTTTGCATAGTGAAAACATGGCAAATTATGTAAGAATCGCTGCCTAAACATTTGTTAAATTTCTGTTAAAAGACAATGTGTAATCTAATTTCCGTTCCTTTTTTCTATTGCAATATTATTATGACTTAAACTTCAACTTTTTTTTAGGCTAAAAAAAATAGATTATTGCAGTTTAGTGATAATTACCCGATCTATTTATATATTTGCGTGACATACGGGACATTTGGCTAGACCGTGGATATTTACTACTGGTATGAAAAGTGAAAATATGGGAAACCCGCCGCAAAAAAACCTTCTTGATCTATGAGCGCCTTTACATTACGAATAAATGTCGTTCATTTCTATCGCCAATACAACTAATATAAGCACTGAAAATCACAGTTACACGGTTGGTTGTCCCTCAAGATACCACTCACCTTATGATTACTTCCTGATATCTCTGTTTAGAACTTTGTAATAAAACGAAGAATAACCTTCGTCTTAACTTTGTCGAACAGGCTGATAGCCTGAAAAATTAACCTAAACTTTCTTAGTCAGAACTAATTTTCGGACGTAGTGCGGTGCATTTCATCACGCAGTCAAGAGTGTACAAAACGTCACGGTGAACTCAACCTATAATGTGCTCATTTTATACATTGAAATCAAACATTTGTTTAGTCATGCCGAAAAATTAGGGTATTTTCACCGTGTCAATTCAACGTGGCATTTGCTCATCGGCTTTTTTTTTCTCGAAGTAGGTGTCAGTCTAGATTCCACAACGTTTTGAGTCATTCTACTCCGGTAAAAGATTGAAAGTCTTTGGGGTTTCAAATATATGTTAATAAAATGCAAAAAAATATAGAAAGGATTATATTTTGATATTTTTTTACAATAACTGAATTATATCTCGCACGCTGATTGGCTAATTGTAATTATCATTAAGAGGACAAACACATAAAATTTTAAGTTTTATAATGCAAGACGCGTTGATTTGGCGAACGAATGCCGACCTTCGGTGTTTTTGCTTAGTTTAGTTTCGTAGGAGATTCACTTTCTGTTCTCTGAGAATAATAGCCAGAAAGTTCTGATGCAAGACTTGCATCCCGTTTGGATTCTCTGCTAAAAGCTTAAGCAGAGGAAACTAAACAAGACACTTAGTTTTCAGAAGCGGGGACGACTTGCTAGAAATGGTACAGTTTCAAAACTGCGATTTAATGTTTAATGTTTTTTAATGTTCGTAAAAAGTTAAAAAAGTAAGAAAACAATTCTGAGAGTCGACTAGTTTATTAAAAATAAGCACATTTAGTTTTCGGTAGTTTTCTTTTGACAAGTACTGAGTGTTTTTCTGATCCTTTTTTCCGAAAGCAAAACAAACTTTTTGTACAAACTTTATGAAACTTTGTAAGTACCTGGTAAGTTGAATTTAAAACTTCATGACTATAATACCCACCTTTCGGTTTGATTGTACACAGCTCATA